AAAAATGTAAATTATGTTAATGTACCAAATAACATTTTACCACTATTCAACATCAGTCAAGCAGAAAAAAAAGGTCAGTCTCAAATCGGACATGGATCACAATCATATAGTCAGTCTGTCATGTTTTAATGACTGAGAAAACAACAAAAATTTACATATCCAAATATGATATGTAATATAAAGTTATTGACCCATGTAAGTTGAGATAAGTCTAAAATACATGTTCTATTAATATTTCTATAACTTTTAACACTATATTGGTGAGAAGACATACTGATGATTTAAAGCAACATTCATGTGACCCTATCAATACATGCTTATGCAATCACTTTAAGGAACTACCTGGGTATTAACTGCTACCTTGAAAAAATGCTGCACAAGCAGATTCTAAAAAGGTATTTTAATGAAAGCTTTAAGCTTGTAGTATATTATGTGCAAAATTTCTTCCATTACATAATATCATAGCCATAGTATCGTGTTATGATAGAAAACACCCAGCACTAATATTCGCACACTTTCTAAATTGCATCAGGACCTTATATAGGTAAAGAATGTTTGACAATAAAATTTACAATCCTATCTCTGTACCTATGTACCTATCCCTAGTAGCTTTATGCCTCAATGCATTTCACAACAATATTTTTTTTTTTCAAATCTTTATCTGATGGGAAAGCGAAATTCAATTTATTTTTCTAGGTCATTTTACACAATATTGTAGATGAACAAATCCCGGTGTCATGTCAATATGTTAACATAAAGGTAAAAGTGACAAGGTACAAGCAGTAGGTTTTTGACACATCAATATGATAGAGTAGGCTTAAGTTCACAACCCTGTAGAATACCTGTTTCAATTAATTTTTTTATACACAACAGAGAATGCACTGAATCAAGGTATTTTTATTGCTCAATAAGACAATAGTGATACCCTAAGAGAAACATTTGTATTTGGCGCTGTGGGTTCGAATCAGTTAGCAATGGCATATAAAATCAAAACTGAAATCAACCTTACTAACAACCAATGTTTAATTTGCCTTGAAGTTAATTTCATTAAAACAAAGTTTTATCAAGATGGACGCATCTATAGTATCTGCCTTTAGCTTTCTCCAAAATCAATGAATATAGAGTGAAAAAATTTGGAGACATACACAGTAGGCAATCACTCACTAGAAAACAATCATTAAAAACTGAACAAGGAAAGTATTGTCCACGTTGGTCGACTAAATAAACTGCTGGTGTTGTATCAAAATCTTAAGCAACCTACACAACATGGGTTAGTTTCCGCATACTAGTTTACTATCCTTGGTACTATAACCGGCCAAATATTTTACACAACGAAGATAGATGGTTTTAAAAAACAGACAATGGATACAGCCACGACAAGAATAAAAAATCTAGACATGAATATAGAAGATAGATGAGATTTCTAACCTCGCCATGACAGGGTAAATAGAAAAAATATGACAGTTTTCTTTCATCCTGTACAAAGGAGAGACATTCTTATGTAGTATTTGATATTCGTGACATCAATAAAACTTTTAAAAAATCCTGCAATATTTTGAGGATTCTGTTATACAAAGGATGGTCAGGGAATATTTACAATGAACACTTCGGCTCTCTGTTAAAATATAGAAGACAGAGAATATGATGATTAAATCTATGCTTCTGCAGATCATGTTCATGCCTCCAAGATCAGTGGATCACTATGATCATCTTACTCTAAGATGTAATTCAGAGGGTGGACCAAAGATGAAGGGAAATGCTCAGGAACAATGTCCTGTATTGTTAGCAAATAGACTTATTGAAAATGCAAATGGTTTTACATGTTTAGTGTTTCTGAACATAGGTTTTGATAAATGTATTTTATCTCCATGTGATTAGAATAAAATGTCAAGAAACAGTAGGAAATATGAAATATGGTGAAAACACCATCAACCGCCCATAACATGCCAATATCATGCACAACATGACTCCCATCTGACGTTTGTTTTTCTAATCAAGAAAGCAAATAAAACCATATCAAAGGAAGGCAATTATAGTTTTAAATTAGAAAAATCCCTGTTATTTGTGGAGGACCAGAAAAACTAAAATTGTGATTAACTACAATCACATTCTGACAAAAGACTTACCACATCAGATTTTGATAAGCTAACCCACACACTGTGTTGCTTGGCACACTTTCATTTATTATTTACTCAGCTCATTATTTTTGGACTCATGTACACAATTCTTTCACACTGTGAATCCTAGTCATCCAGATAATATTAGGGAACAGCTATGGAAACTCTGATAGCTTCTGCATCAGAGAAGTGTCAAGTGCAAATCAGTCATATCATGTAATCTCATCAAGCTACATAGTAGTGTTTTTAAAATTCTTTCAAGATTTTCTTTAGCTAACTGGGTCAAGGTCTGTTTCAGAATCAAAATATTTTACATAACCAGATATTTTGGATCACTTTCTGACAATTTGGATCACTTTCTGACTGAATCCTAGCTGAAAAGTGTTTCTATGAACTATTCTGCATAAATGTGACACATGGCCATATCCCATAGAGTGTGATATTGTAGCACATTATGCCACTCTGCACATAGCTGTTTGTTGGTCTATGCACTTAAAGTTTGAAGGACTGAATTGTGCATGTTTTTATTACTCATTTTATGTTATACCATAAGATTTACACTAGAGTAGCCTACTTGGATCTTAAATAAATATCCCTTAATGGGATTGATATTTCACCGTTCTAATCCCACAATTTCAAATGAGTCCACATTGATTGCAAATAAAAAATACTTTTGGGTTTGCTCGCCCAAATTTCATGATGAAAACTTTATGTACTCTATCCCTAGTGAAAAAATCATAAACTTCTTAACAATCTCTTTAAAGAAAGGTAAATAAAACTTAAGTTTTTATCAATTTTTTATAACATGTAGTAGTTTTGTTCTTGGTTACGCAAGTAACAGACACATGGGGGTTCTCACTTATTTTCTTCGTTCCTACTCAAGCAGAAAGACTATCGATAAAATAGTAACGCAATATTCTAAAAATATACAATTCTTTTTTACTTTTCTGATCAATTTGCCATTTTTCTTTTACTAAACATAATTAAGGAACACTCTTTAAAAAAGGAAACAAAAAAAGAGTCTTATAAAATCAATGGAAATGTTTTAAATATGGATCGAATAAATCCAGGTGGTCTACGTAAGGTTAATCAAGTCATTGTTATATTTTTAACATTGGCATCTGTACGTTACATCTCAGCTCTGTTCTTCCCACTAGGGGGCAGTCTATTCAGCTTAATCACTCGTTATTGTCATTATTCAGGGCTTAATGATGATAATCAAAATGACTTGATCTATGAAAACGTCCTACAAATTAACCTTAGAAACAATCTGTCGAACTACTTTCTATCTACTTCATATCGTCAAGTTCAACAGTAGGAATAATGACATGGAGGTCTACCAAATGGCAAATATCTGCATATCATCTCAATTAACAATTCAATCTGCTATGTAATATATTATCAATGGTATATCAAGTAACACCAGGCCAATATCTTATCTTTCATATAGCCACACTCAGCACAATTTTACAAATCCATATTCATAAGTCTTCCAACATGGTTCAATATTGCTAAACATGTAAAGGACAGTCCACTTGGTCTGGTCTACTGCTTAGGTTCAACGTTTTTTAGCTTTCTGCCTCAGATATAAATACGCTTCATAATACTAGCTTATCCACTTGCAAAATGAAGCCATTCTCAAAAACACAACACCAACCTTTATAAGATTGTATGTAGCAAGTAAATTCAGCGATATTGCTTACAAGAATTGTACTTAAAGACTTTTAATGGATATTTTATTTTTATTATAAAACTAGCTTTCCTGATGTGAATTTTTTATCCGAAATACTTGTCAACAACATGAAGTGAGCTCTTATCAAGTAGAAATATCAAATTGCATATTAGCACATTTTGATGTATATCCTTTGTTGTAATAATTA